TGTTACTTCGACATGAAATTGAAAAGTCCCACGTTATTTGGCTTCTACTAATTAAGTCTTTAATCTGTAGAGATCTACACTGTCAAATAAGATAACATCAACCTAGATTTCATGAAAACTAATCTACTCCAAAGACATAAAAGCACTTGATCCGACACCCCAAAAATATCATGTACTATCTTTCGAAAGAGCTGTTCTGCATTATGCTGGTGCATTTTCTTCACATGATTTGCCTAGTTAATTATATATAATTAACCATCTAGGTGGTGGCCAAGTGGTAAACACTTGGGACTAAGGGGTTTGCTCCCTCTGTGATCTCAGGTTCGAGTCCTTGGTTGCTCATATGATGGCCACTGGAGACTTACATGGTCGTTAACTTCAGGGCCCGTGGGATTAGTCGTGGTGCGCGTAAGCTGGCCCGGACACCCACGTTAATCTAAAAAAAAAAATAAAAAAAAATTATATATAATTAATTTTCCTTTTTGGTCTAGCCAGGAAAACTGAGGTAAAATATGTTAAACCTCTCATCGAAGCTCACTACTTTTGTAGCCCGGCCAACTTGTTTTAGTAGCTAGCAATGTAACAAAAAATGATGTAAAATACTCTCAAGAAACAAATTAATCAAAAGAAAAGAAACACGCATTTATTTGTTAGAAATAAATAGGCGAGAAGGAAAGGAACTCTTAAATTATATTCTCTCAAATGAGAGGAAATCCATGCATACTTGATTTAGCATATATTTTTATACTAGTTTAAGATAATTCAAGAAACTTAAAAAATAAATACTATTTAATATTTATATATAAACTTAGGAGAGATATAGAAGAATTAAAAGACATTTTGAATAAAGATTTTAAAATTAATTTCAACGCTCCCCTTTAATTCTTGAAATTTTAAAATATATTCTAGATGTCTGACAAACTTTTTGTTCTTATTACCATTTCCCTAGGCACAAGCTCATTGTTTTGTTATTGTCATTGTCTCACTGTTGTTGGATCAATTTACTACCATGATTTTTGGATCTATCTCACTTGCAATTTGTCTTAGTTACTACCCTATCATGGCTAGCTAATGACTTCTTCAATCTTCCTTTTTTTAACAATTGTATTTGCTTAAACATGCCTCGGTTAAGCCATTTTTCTCCTTTTATAGTTGTTGACATCTTTCTCTAGCTAAACATCTCTCTTTTCAAGATTGGGCTCTTCAAGTGACCATTCTATTTTGGCTCATTATTCATCCGGTTGATGCTTTCTTCTTGTCACAGCTCCTTAGCCATTTCTAATCTTTTTTATAAAGAGGTCTCTCTTTCTTCTTTTTTCTATGTGTAATCTCCTTTGTATCATATTTTTTCTTGTGTAAAGACTTGTTAACTTGCAACTAGCCTCTTTCATAGGCTTCTTCTTTTATCTCTTTTGATGCAATGTCCTAATTCTCTTGCTAGACATTTTAATCTTACAACTTTAATTATTTTTTTTTGTCTCATCTTTCTAAAACACCCCCACTAGATCAAACTAGCTTTGATATTTTGTTAGAAATAAATAGGGGAAAAGAAAATTAACTCTTATATTACTTACTCTCAAATGATACGAAGTTTATATATAAACTTGGACTTAGAATACAATCCTTTTAACACATATTCATATTGGTCTGAATAATTCAAGAGACATAAAAGATAAATACCTTTTGATTTTCATACATAAACCTACGAGACACCTAAAAAAACTAAAAAAATACTTTGAATGAAGACTTCAAAATTAATTCCAATAATATTTATATATAGACAATAAAAGTGTCAACTTTAATTACAAAATTAAAGATGAGACTAATAAAAGTAGTAATAATTGCAACAAAAACAATAATAACTATTTTTATATTTTATGTATAAGAAGATTTTTTTTGAGCTTTTATTAGTATTGTTTCAATCTTATTATGTTGAGAAAGTTATTAATAAATTTTCTAAAGGAGGTAATAGCATTGTGAAAACACCAAAGGATATAAGTGTTTATTTGTTAAAAAAAAAAAACATAAGGGAATTCTTTGATAATTAAGACCTAATATTGCTTACTCAGTTAATAAACTAAGTAGATTTATAAGTAATTTAAGCATAGATAAATGGAAAAAAATACAAAGTATACTCAGATATTAAAGGTACACCTTAGACCATGGGTTATATACTATATTGGTTACTTAGTTATACTTAAAGGATATAGTGATTCCAATTAAATATCTGATATTAAGAATTCAAAATTTACTGGTGAATATGTCTTCACACTTGATGAAGCGATTATGCTATAAAAATTCTTTAAACAAACATTTATCGTAAGATCCATGATTGAATCAAAGTTTATTGCTTTTCATAAAGCTGGAAAAGAAGTTGAATGACTTTGAAATTTCTTAGAGTATATTCCATATTGATAAAAACTAGTGCCAGCTATTTGTGTTCATTACGACAATCTTTCAGCAATTGAAAGGGTATAAAGTAGTATGTATAATGGTAGGTCTAAACACGCATTATATATATAATACCATTAAAAACTTACTTTCAAATATAATTTTTTATTATGGATCCATTAACTAAAGGTTTATTGAGAGAGCTTGTATATAATTAATTTGAGGTATTGTGTTTAAAGTCTTTAGAAATTGTAATCAAGATCTAGAAATTGTAATCATACCTAGTTGATTGGAGATCTCAAGATCTAGATTCAAATGAAAAACTAGGTCATGTAATATTTTTATAGCATCGAAAAACTACAGTTTTATATTTATTTCTATGATAAAATTAGTGTTAATTGTAACGTGATAAAAGGTGAGGTGAACCCTTAATGATTTTTATATCTCAGTACACCAAAAGGAGTATAACATAATATTTTTAATGAAAGACCACTTATATGAGTGAGAAATATAGTCGTTTTTTGAGAATTTTGATAAAGATTGAATTCTTTATAGCACTTATGAATCCAAGTGTTGTTCAGGGTTAAAATGAACAAAACAACAAAAACCAAAAGAATTATGTGAGTATTATTATCTTAATTTACACAAAAGACTGAATAGTTCAAAACATCACGTTCACTATTTAGTCAAGTAAATAATATGCTAAGTCAGTATCTCTGAACAAATCTTTAAGTTGTTTTCAAACCGATGAGACCATTTTCATTCATGTAGAGGATTGTTAAAAATCTGATTAATTAATATGATTTAGTTAAATTATAAGTGTGAAAAATTAATTTCAAAGAACTTTTGGTTTTCACACTCAAATAGCCCTTGTTTTTTTCTAGACTTAATTCTTGATTTATGGTGGCTAATCAAATATTGATAATGGGTGAAATTAATTCTTATAAATTGTTCAAGCTTTTAGGTTTCAAAATCTACTATAAAAACAAGGGAGAAAGAAGAGTTTATAACTTGAGTTTTTCATATTTTTTCACTCTTTC